GGGCCCAGGCTGGGGATTCGAACCCGCCACCTTAGGTTTATGTGGCTGGCGCCTTAGCCACTTGAGCCACAGGGGCCGAGCCGATTAGTCTATTTTCAAGCCCCAAAAGCTCATTGGTCAACTACCCCTATATAAGCCAGAGACCCTGAGCACAGATTTGGGCAGATCTCAGGAGATAGAGCAGGGAGGTCTGGCTCTGTAACACTTGTATCCTGCTCTATGAGATTCGCCCCTTTATACGAGCTGTAAACACTCACAAGGGGGTTCGCCCCTTTGTAAAAGCTGTAAACACAAGGAGGTTTGCTCCTTTATAAAAGCTGTAAACACTTACAAGGAGGTTTGCTCCTTTATAAGAGCTGTAACACTCATATTATAAAACCTATCTTACTGCTAATTCTACTCTACAAGGAGGTTTGGCTTGTTATAAGAGCTATAACACTTATACCTGTTGAATAAAACCTATCCTGTGGTCTGTCGCTTCATTCTTCGAACCGCTGAGACCAACAGCCTGGAAATTCAGTATCAAAAATCCGGTAACACCAGCTACTATGGAGGCTGAGGCGAGAATCTCCTAAGCCCAAGAGCTGGAGGTTGCTGTGAGCTGTGATGCCACAGCACTCTACTGAAGGCGATAAAGTGAAATTCTGTCTCAAAAAAAAAAAGGAAAAGGAAAGATAAAACATTGGGTCTATTGCCCCAGAGTTAAAATGTTAAGTATATTGATTTTAGCATCTAAGTAACAACTGCCAAAGAAGTTGCAGGAGAGTGAATGTGCTTAAAAGAGAATGAGGGATGAGTAAGTGAAGATGGGGAAGAGCTGGACTGCAAGGTCCTCACAGAAGGAGGGAGTTGGCAAGGAAGTGGCAAAAAATGGCTTGCAAATGGGAAAGCTCTGTGTCCAATGGGATGATTAGTAACTTCTGGGCAGGAAGTAGAGTGCTGAGAGACAAAACAAGTTTTAGCTAAGGCAGGAGGAGGAGAAGGGTGCACTCGGTATAGAGATGAAGAATACAGGAAAGTTTACAGTGAACTAAAGTTGCCAGAGGCCAAGTTTTAGCTAAGGCAGAGAGAATTTGAGGTTGCAGTGGGTTATGATGATGCCACTGTACTCTGTCCCAGGCAACAGAGCAAGACCTTGTCTCAAAAAAGAAAAAAAAGATAAGCATACAAAGTATATTTATCTGAGTATTATTTATAATATCAATATGGGTTGGCTAATAAAATCATGATATATTCAAATAATGGAATATTTAAGTCATTAAAATAATAAAGTAGATTTATATGCTACTTGTTATGAACATATGTATCAGAGTGCCAGAAATATTGGAATTATTATTATTATTTTCAGACAAAGTCTCACCCTGTTGCCCATGCTGAAGTGCAGTGGTGTCATCATAGGTCCCGGCAAACTCAAACTCCTGAGTTCAAGTGTTCCTCCCACTTTGGCCTTCGAGAGTGCTGGGATTATAGGCATGAGCCATGGTGCCTGGCCAAAATATTGGAATTATATTAATACCAAATGGTTTTACAAAAACAAAGCAAGACTTAACAAGGATTACGAACTGCAGCCAATGAGTGGAAGGAAGAACATCATTCAGTAACTGGTATGAGGTAAACTGCTCACTCAGGAAGAACTTACTACCTTTCATTGAATTTCAGATATTATTGGTTATAAGACACTTCCTGATTTCAGAGTTGTTAAAATGTGAAAAAAAATGTTATGTTAGGATTAATCAAATACAGTATGTTTAGGGGCAGAAAAGTGTGCATAGAGAACAGTGGAATGATGGGAAATGGGACATTAAGACCATCAGATAAACTCAAGTGGAGTGATTTCTGGTTTATAGAACAAAATTGTTTTACATTTAGTGAAAAGGAGATAGTGAAAGGCAGTTGATACAGCCACAAGAACATGCATAGAAAATTAATTCTGTAACTAAAAGAAGTAAGCATCTCTCCCTGCTGATTTGGACTGTATATATTTGGAAACAGTGAGTGTTAATTGAGACTTACACGTGTGAGGTTTTACATCTCTATTTTTCCTTAAGTGGAGGCTGAGCTTGTAATTTTTTGATTCCTCCTTGCTGTTTTGGGGGGGGGTGGTTTGAGACCAAGTCCACTATGTCACTCTTGGTAGAGCGCTGTGGCATCATAGCCCACAGCAACCTCAAACTCTTGGGCTCAAACAATTCTCTTGCCTCAGCCTCCCAAGTAGCTGGGACTACAGGCACCTGCCATTATGCCTGGCCATTTTTTGTTGCAGTTGTCATTGTTGTTTAGCTGGCCTGGGCTGGGTTCTCTGAACCCGCCAGCCTTGGTGTATTTGGCTGGCGCCCTAACCACTGTTCTACAAGCCCCTCCTGCATGTTTTAAGCTGTTTGGCAGCTAAAGAGAAATAAAAGGGTATAGGAACAATAGATTGTTAGTACTCAAGGAGAAAGATCAAAATGTCTGCATTTTTCACATAAACAGAAAATAAGGAACTCTATTCTGTATCTCTTCCTATCTTATTCAGAGCTTTCAGTGAGTATTATTCTGTCATATGAAATCCAACCACTTCTCTCAAAGTAGTCTCACAAGTTAGGAATTTGACCAGCTGTCCATGGGGAAGTAAGCTTAAAAATGTCAAGCATTCTCTCTCTCTCTCTCTCACACACACATACAAAGATGTTAGTGCCTAGCAATATATTATATACATATTATTTACTCACATTATTTGTTCTTTATTTTTAGTTATTTTTGTCCTCTATACAGTGGCAAGCATTAAGGAAGGTAATTTGTTCTTAGTTATTACTGTGATTCACAAGAAGTTTAAGTCAGGCCTGGGACTACTGCCACTGGCAACTGCTGTATCCAGAACATTATCAGATAGTCCTTCCATTTGAAGTAATTACTGACCACAGAGGGACTTGATCAAAAACAACAGATGTAGCTCTAGGCAAAATGCATTGGTAAATAAATTTACCTGATAGGATGTCAGATCTAGAAGAAAACCTAAAGAACATCTGAGCCCTGAAATTCCTAACCTTTTTTTTTTTTTGAGATAGAGTCTTACTTTATCACCACCAGTAGAGTGCTGGGGCATCATCGTTCACAGCAACCTCAGACTGGGCTCAAGCAATTTTCTTGCTTCAGCCTCCAGAGTACCTGGAATTATACAAGGCCCATCTATTTTTAGAGGTGGAGTCTCGCTGTGGCTAAGGCTGGTCTCAAACTTGTGAGCGAGCTCAGGCGATCCACCCACCTTGGCCTCCCAGAGGGCTGGGATTACAGGTGTGAGCCACTACACCCAGCCTTTTTTTTTTCTTTAAATTAGAGACAGGGTCTTGCTCCTTTACCCAGACTAGAGTGTGATGGCACGAATACAGGTCACTGTAACCTTGGACTCTTGGGCTCAGGCAATCCTCCCACCACAGTCTCTCAAACTTCTGGGATTACAGGCATAAACTACCATGCTGGGCCTTACAGTCCTTATCCTTATACTAAGATCTTGTCCCACTGACTATTTGTCAAATATTTAGTATTTTTTCTTCCTGATATAATAGAAAATGTGTAGTTTCATAGTTGATTAATAACAAAATCATAAAGCTGGAAAATGTAAACATTATGGAAGAAGTCAGTCACAAAAGACCACGTGTTATATAATTTCATCTGTATGCAAAGTCCAGAACAGGTAACTCCATAGTAATAGAAGCAGATTAATAATTGCCAGGAGCAAGGGGGTGGGGATGGAAAA